CTTAGTAAACAGAGCACAGAAACACACTCGGCCTCGCCCAGTCTGACGACTCGGGTCATGGGTGGGAGCCTCTGTTGCAGCTCAGGGGATGCGCCCCATTACGTTTCACCACTGAGGCTTTTGTACTGGAGGTAGAATGACCCAGAAAGGAGAGGGGGTGTGTTCGGGGGGACGGGGGAGCTGTGCGCTTCTGACCCAGCACGAGGGCGTCCTTTCCCACTCCCGGGCCCCCAGCCCTGACCCAGAGGCCCAGCCCAGGACAAAGTCTCCCTGTCCCAGGTGGCCGAGTGCAAGCTCCAAGTATGTGGCCCTAGTCTGAGGTAGTGCCACTGCCCCTCGCGCTGAAGCAGCTGCCACCGTCCCTGTGCTGGGACACTGAGGGGCGTGGCAGAGGTCTGCTCACTGAAAGCATTGCTCTGCAATGACGCTACAATACAGTGGCACCTTCGGGGGCTGCTGAAGCAGGTGAGCCGACCTACTTGCCGCGGACTTGCTGGCCCCAGGTCACGGGGCTGCCTCTGTGCCCATGTTTTAATTTCTCTGTTCCCACCTTGGCGCCTGCTCTGCACTCTGTCCCTAACTTAAAACAAACAATCTCACTAGATTGTGAGCCCTTTGAGGGCAAGAACTGTTATCAGTTCGTGTCTTTTCCCCCCTAAAGACCCTGGCTTAGTATCTGGCACATAGCAGATGTTGAGTAAATGCCACCCGAATCAAATTGAGTTAAGCCAGGAAGTTTCATTTCACCCACAATCCTAAACCAATGCAGATGTATTGTGCAGGGATGGGGGTTATTCCAGGGGCTTTTGCCTGGCTTTGTGACTCCTGTGCAGGCCATTTGGAAGTCTGAATGCCAAAGAGTAAAGGGGCTGGGAGTCTAAGAGTTGGGGGAGTGGGGGAGGGGACATTCTATGCAAAAGTTTCCTGGTTCTGGTCAGTTCTGTCCACCCTCAGTGCGCACTGACTCTGGACACCGGAGACGCCAATGTGAGTAAAGCAAGGGCACCAGCCTTGAACAGTCATGGTCCAGAGATAAGTGCACAAGACCCAAAGGTGTGGCACCAAGGAGCCAGGACTAACTTGCCCCAGGAGGTGGTGACATCAGGAAAGGCTTTCAGAGGAGGGATATCTGTGCAAGGGTTTGAAGGATGAGCACAAATTTGCCTGGCAGACAAGGGATCAAAGGGCTTCCTGGCAGAGAGGAAGGGCACCGTGGCAGGGTGAGTGTCTGTGTGGTAGGACATGGCCCGAGGACTGGGGAGCAGAGGGTGTGGCATGGGGCTGATGGGGGAGAGTAAGTTGGGGGTCAGCGAGGTCAGTCATGGAAGGTTTTGGTCAGAGTAATGGGAGCCACAGGAGGGATGTGGTGGCGGGCATGTGGTTAGCTCTGGGTGAAGGTGGATCACAGCATGTACCAGGCAGACTGTAAGATTCAACAGGAACAGAAGCCCTGAGAGGCCTTCACAGGAGATCAGAGAACCAGGCGCAGCACCAAGGAGGGCTCCTGCTCAGAGGCCAGCTTTTGGGGGGAGGCAGAGAAGGCTCCTGAGGGTCCCAGCTGCTGAAGATCTTCTCAATGAGTCACATTACCTTCAATGCTTTAACCCCCCAAAATAACAACTGGGGCGGCAACAATCCATTGAAAGCAACCATCCCTTCCCTGGGCGTTTCCTTACAGTTCTCCAGGTGCTCTAGGACGCACCATCTCATCTGAACCTCCATACACCACCATTGCGCAGACAGGGAAACCAAGGCCCTGAGTAACCACACAGGGCTAGTGGCTGGTGCCAGGCTAGCACCCAGGGGCAGTTCCATCCAAGCCCTGGGCATCGGGCTCAAAGCCCAGTTCCTTGTCTGGGAAGGGGTCCCCAGGACTGTCGGGCAGCCCATAANCCTGGGCATCGGGCTCAAAGCCCAGTTCCTTGTCTGGGAAGGGGTCCCCAGGACTGTTGGGCAGCCCATAGTACAAGTCTTCCTCCTCTTGCTCCGGCTCCTCTGCACCTGTGTCCGAAGCCTCTTCCTCCTCTTTTGCCCTCGGGGACCGCTGCCAGTAGCTGGGTAGGGCTTCGTCCAGCCATTGACCCGCGGGAGGTGTGTCCTCCGACGTGGGGGCATCGATCAGAGCAAAGTCATGGAAGCGGTCCAGCTGGCACCTGCAGGCCCAGGGCTCCCCTGGCTGGGGGCCAGGCACCTCCCCCTCGGGTGGAGATGAGTTGGGGCTGCCACCCTCACTGGAGCCCACATCCAGTTCATCTTGGAAGGAAGCCAAGGGTGCAGGGCCCTGGGGACGGGCTGGGGAGCTGCAGGGGCAAAGCCAGAGAGGGCAAGGGTTGCTTTGAGTCAGATTGCCTGGGCCTAAACCTGGCCACTAGCTACAAGGATGGGGAAGGTGAGCTCACCTGTCTGAGCCTTAGTTTCCTCCCCTATAAGGTGGAGGGAATAACAGTATTCACTCCTCTGGAGTCTCTGAGGTTTATAGCAGATCATGTGTGCAAAGCACTTTGCACAATGCCTGGCACATAGTAGGTGCTCAAGAAATGAGTCATTATCATGTTGTTATCCAAACCAGGTCACTCTTCCACGTCTCCAATCTCTCAGGGCTCTCCTCTGGGCCCTCAGCCCCCATCACACTAGGTGTGACCTTCCGTTCCCTCACCTGCCTCCCCCACTGGACTGGGAGCTCCTCAGGGTGGGGGCCATCAGGCCTGGTGGGGGGTAGGTGCCCAGTAACAGTGGGAGATGAGTAAGTAAATAAAGGGATGACTAAGGATCCCAGTTCATAAACATCCAGGGGTGGGCTGGGCTGGGGAGTGACCTGCCCGAGGTCACAGAGCACATCAGCTGCAGAGTCTAGATTTGAACTCAGGTCCTCTGGTGCCATGGCCCTCGCCACATGTGACAAGCATTCAGACAGTGCAGAGGCCCGTAGTATGCCTGATGCTTAAATGCACTGTCCTGATCTCCACAACACCCCTCTGAGGCAGGAGTGATTATTCCCATGTGGGGAAACCAAGGCTCAGGAGGGTAAGAAACTTGCCAGGGTTACACAGTAGCGCTGCTGGGATTTGAACCCAGGCCCGTCTGAGCCCAGACTCATGCATCTGCTACACCTGCTGCCTCTCGGGGTGTCCCCGCCCTCACTGCCCTATATACCCCGGATGTGCCCACCCACCACTCAGAGGCCCACATTCCTCTCCTTCGCCCCGGGGGTGGGCAGCATCCCCACTCCTGCGCCCTGCACGCTCACCTGGGACTGCTCGGAGCCGGGTTTCTTTCCCCCTCGTCTTCATCTGAGCCCCTGTGGACGACCACGGCAGCCTCCATCGGGGCCTGAGCATCGCGAGGGCCACCTTCTGCTCTGTCACTAGCTTCCGGCTGCGGCCGTCCCAGCTCAGGGGCCAGCAGGGGGCGGGGATCCTCGCTGTAGCCCAAGACCTTCATCCGGATGTGGCTGAAGTCGGGCAGGCTCTGGTCGTAGGCGGCTTCCTCCCACAGCCTCACGTAGGGGGGCTGGGGGCTGGGCAGGCACGGGGGACAGCAGGAGAGAGGACGGGCAGGTGGGCAAGGGTTCGCTCAGCAGGCATCGGCGCTGTCCCCCGGCCCACCCGCTCTGGACGCCTGGTCTGCCTGATCCCACAGAAGCCCTCAAGGGTCGTCCCTGTGCTAGCTCGTGGCTGAGGAGACTGAGGCCCAGCGAGGTAAGGCAGGGGCAGAGCTCAGACTCAGCCCAGGGTTCCTCTCACCCCGTGCCTCCCAAGTTAGCCCCAAGGGTGCAACTGCAAAATGAAGACCAGTCGCACTGACCGAGTTTACTGGGTTCAAGACAGTGGCTATAGGCTTTATGCCTGTCACCCCATTTATTCTGAATAACACATTTAAGCAGAATAATCGTGCCCGTTTTTCCAATGAGGACATGGCAGTGGTAATTAGCAGCTACTGAGTGCTCCTTACCTGCCAGGTTCCGTCAGGCAGTTCATCTCATCCTCTCCCTAACTCTGGGAGATACTGAAGGAAACTGAGGCACAGAGCGTTTAGCGGGCTTGCCCCCGTGACTCAGACACCAGATATCGGTGCTGGGGCTCCAGACATCACGTTTCCTACTGCTCTCTACAGTCCCTCCAGAAAGCGAAGCGCAGAGACTAAATCCTTGCCCAGGGCTGCATGTCTGGGAGCTGACAGGGAGGGGCCCGGAACTCAGGACAGCCCGAGCCTGGGCTCTGTCACAGCAGCCCTCCCAGGCTGAAGTGCTCCCTGCTGTGTCTGGCGAGCCACGGCTTGGCACCTTCAGGGACAAAAGCAGGTCTGGCCTGGTCTGTCACTGACTCCCTGTGAGGTTTGGGGCTTATGCTTATACTTCTTGAGCCTCAGTTTCCACCTCTGTATAAAGGGCTGGACACCCCCCCCCCC